TCCCATAACATCCTCATGGGGAAGCTCGGGAAGTGTGGACTGGATGAGTGGACAGTGAGGTGGATTGAGAACTGGCTGGATGGCAGAGCCCAGAGGGTGGCGATAAATGGGGCCGAGTCTGGTTGGAGGCCTGTGGCCAGTGGTGTCCCCCAAGGGTCAGTACTGGGCCCGGTGCTGTTCAACTTGTTCATCGGTGACTTGGATGAGGGCACAGAGTGCACCCTCAGCAAGTTTGCAGATGACACCAACCTGGGAGGAGTGGCCGACACTCCCGAGGGCTGCACTGCCATTCGGAGAGACCTAGACAGGATGGAGGGATGCCACCCTCTGCCACGTGCTCTAGGTGTCCCTGCTGGAGCAGGGGGGTTGGAGTAGAGGTCCCTTCCAACCTCATCCATTCTGAGATTCCGTGTGTGCGCACATGTGTGTGCATGCATGTACATAAATGCACAAGAACTGTGCAATCTGAGTTCTCTCTTTCACAAGATGAGGTGAAGGTAAGAGGGGCAGACTCTTATACAGTTCTAAGTTTTTGTTCCTGTTTCCTTTCAGAGCTCTGCTGTTTTCTGTCATGCCCCTGTTTCTTTGGTTTTACACGTTTGTAATATTTACATACAGGTAACACGGGAAAGTTTGATACTAAGTTAAATATTTGTTTTTTAACACGCGTTTAAGTGTATTCATTGGTTATCACCCTGCACCCCGCATTGCAACACATTGCTCCACGGTCAAAGCCTAAACCCTTCACTCCTCAGAAATGTTTCCGTTAACTCATGTACATCCAGGAATTATAGGTATTCAAACAAAGGGAAGCACAGGTAATAAAATAATTTATTCACATAATTTACATATAGAATACGACTGGTTTCATTGAAACAGAAAGCCTATATGTGATTAGACATGCGCCAGACAACTCTCTAAGCAAAGCAGTCGTGTGCCGTATCTTTTTAATAAAAAACAATAAACTAATAAGCATTGAGATTTCACAATTCTTCCCTCATTCACCATTATACAGCTTGCACATGCAAAGAGAACACAAGTTGTTTCATCTCTATTCCTTTGTTTCATTTTTAAAAACAAGAGTATCCTATAACAAAGTGCATGTGGTTTGCTGCTGGGGAGGAGGGAGCAGGAAGAGTAGCCCCAATTACCAGGATAGATAAGGCACCTTATATCTTAGTTATGAAATAATGCTCATTTTTGTCTTGTAATTTCAGTGCAAGCTAAAATGTATGCAACTAAATGCAGAATGGCTATCAGCTAAGGTGGTACTTAGGGCACGTTACTTTATAGCCTTCTCCCCGCTCAAGTTTTCACACTACATCAGTGCAAGTGACTTAACATGCCATATGTAACAGGAAATAAACTTACACACATGAAATGGTATCTACAAGATATACAATGCAAGAAGCTTTATGTATACATTAATCTATTTCTTAATGTTTACAGTAAGATGATATTTAGATAGACATTTCAAGTTAAATGGAATAGGCAGAACACAAGATACTGTCTGAACAGAAAATGTTTGTTGGATTTTTTTTTTTTTTGACAGCATGCTTTTTAAGTAAGTTACTTTATTCTGGGATTTTTAGTCCCTTTTTCATCATCTAAAAAATACAGCTGCTTGTGACACATTTGGCTGACAGAGACCTCCTAATATACTAATTTATAGTAGTTTTTCTGTGCATTTTCCCCTTACTGGCAAAGTTTTAAAGGCTTCCTTAGAAGCCTTGCCAATAATTTCTGAATAGGCAAGCATTCTCAAGCTTCAAATATTTCCATATCAGCTAGATACTTATATGAAAATATTTGCTATTAAGATCATTTTCCAGTCTGACACTGAGGATGGGTTTCTGGTGAGCCTTAACAATACAACCCTAAACATCAGTTTCTCTTTCATATCAGATTTTTTTTTTCAAATATACCTGCTGGTATTAAGCAACATTAAAAAAAAATGAACTTCTTCACACTACATACTTAATTGAGGCAATAAAGAGTTTAAGAATGTATTTTCAATGGCCACCTGACTTTTAGACTGCATGGACTTTATTATCTCATCAAGGGAATATTCTTACTATGCAAGTGAAAAATTAGACTAAAATCTAATGCTACACCAAAATTTTATAGGAAGTTACAGTACAGGTGGATGCGAAATATACAGAAAACTAGTCAAATTTAACTGCTTCAAAGCAGTAAATCCTTAAAGCATCCTCATTTGATAATACAGCATTAACCGCAGCTCTGTGCTACTTCACACAAGAGGAACTCTTTGGAAGTCAGTAGAGACATATGCACCTATATATAATACCAAGGAACAGAAATGGTATTTAGTCCCTTGTTTTCAGTGTACCTAATTTAGAAGGAAATTAGCATTTAGATTGGGAAATGTTAATCTCTTCCTCCTCCTCTAACAGAATAGTTGGAAAGATTAACTTAATACATATTTAATTTATTAAAAGATACTGTATTTTCCATGTTTCTCTCTACACATTTTTAAGGAGTTAGAACCATTAGGCTTTTCAAGTTAGTCTCTTTCCATTTATGTGAGACTTCTTTATTACAAAAATCCATAATTTGGATCTGCCAATAGAAATTGGTGGCAATGCTGAACATAACTATGTATTTACTAGACCATACTTACAGAATTTCCTTCTTGATCTACAGAAATTATATATAAAAAGTCCATTTCTCCTTCTAACAAGCTAATTTACGAAGAGAAGCAGTGAATTTTTAAAACCAGTATCACAAGCTTTAGCATTACAATTCAAAGGGATACTGTCACAAAAATAAGCATTTCTTATAATAAGCACTTTTCTGGAAGATCGTCATGCACCCGCTAGCAGCATCTGAACAAGTAAAAACTAAGCCAGCTGCTCTGGTCCAATGACATCCATGTAGTCATGTAGGTTATGGCAACATTTTAAAAACCTCCAGGTCCCTTCAGAGAGAATTTTGTCTTTACCAAAGCTTATAACAGTTTGGCTGATAAGAAGTTTGACATAACAGCAGAGCAAATAGGAACTTTTCTAAATACTGTTTTGCTGTGGCATTGCACTTTTGGATCTAGGATTTTATAAAACCATTTTGCTATTCTGAATCATCCACTTCCATAAATATGTCACTGAAAAAATACTCAGAGACCCTGGTTGGTGCTTCTTCCTTTTCTTGATCTTTAGCTTGAAGGGATGGCTTCTCAGGTTGCTTGTTAACAGGAATCTGTGTTTTTAATAGACACACACAGACTTGAGCTTCCATTTAGATAAGAAGTTCAGATACAAACTTCAGATTTCAGATTACTGAAAAACAGCAGACTGCTCCCCTCTTCTTTGTTGAGGAGTACTTCCTCAGGGAAAACTGATTAATATTTTGGGATAAGCCATATATGTGAATAGTCAGTCCCCATTATTTGACTTCACTGAATTGGTGTGAATCAGTTTAAGCAAAGAACCATTACTACCAATTAATCCCAAAACACACAACTTCACAGAATACCAATCTTGGACCCATGCACATAAGCACTAATACCAGTAGAAGCCCTCACAGCACCACACACGTCTTGGATAAATGCGTGAATCTTGTGCAATTTCTGCTAAAGTAACAACAGAAAAATGCCCCATGGCTGTCACGGAAACCAAACATTAATAAATATATGTGAACAGAAAAAGCAACTACTTTATAAGTTTCCTAGACATGCACAGGTCAGGGTTACTGCTCTCAACTTGGAACGTTGCTGCTCACCTACCTGACCACCCCCTAAAGTGACAACTCCCCTGCTCTTTGCATCCCAGGATGGAAGGACATTCACGAGCGCACACGTACCTCAACTGCAGCATCAGCAGCCATGTTCTCACACTCCACAGGTGATGATGTGCTCACAGAGGGAAGGGAACAGGATTCCCTACCAGCCTCACTGGACACAATAGGTTTTATTAGACCTCGCTTTGGGGTCACTATCCGAGGCTTCTGGACCTTCCCTCTGTTCCCCTTGGTATCCTCTGCAGATTCGGAACTGCTTTTTTTGCAAATTAAAGATAAAAATCCCAATGGTTTTCGACCACCCCTCCTGTTCAAAATAGATACAGTCAGAATGAGATAAGGACATCTACAAAGCAAGATGTAAATAGTGTTATAGGAGATCGATTCATTACACAACAAGCAGCAAACATCTCAAATACAAAATAAATAAATAAATAAAATTACAAAAAGAATAAGAATACAAACCCCAAATATTTTCTTATTTTGAAGAAAACTTTTGTATTACTGAATATTCTGGCACAAGACGCTCAAAAAAAAAAAAAAAAAGTTACAGAAGCTCTCTACAGTCTCCAACCCTGACAACAGGAACCTACCGTTTGCTACTAAGATAGAGCCTATAACAAGATCCCCAAGTCTTCAGAAAAATATTCCAAGTGGAAAGAACATATTCCTAAGGAAAGACCTAAAAAGAGCTTCCTTCTTGTAACTAATGGAAAATGGTTCCTCATTTAAGGATAGAGCCACATAAAACTGTCCTAGACACTAGAAAACTCTGCTGTAGCTTTCCATCCACTGAAACTATCCAGCTTAGTAACAGTGTTTGTGTTGCATTATGCACAGAAGCTGGAAAGCAGTCACACTTGTGAGGGCGGTGCAGACAGTATCAAGGAGTTTATAATCTGGGAAGTAAACTGAAGCAAGAATTCTCAATGTTTCATGCATTATTACAAATAATGTCAGGTATAAATAATATAATTTTGTTAGACACAAGAGCAATGACAAAGAAGGAGGAAAAAAGATCAGGACAGCAGGGGAACACCACAATCGAAACCAGTGAGCACAACAGCAACAGAGAGCAAGAACTCAAAACACTAGAGAGAAGGGAAAAAGGTGAATTAAAAAAAATACATCCAAATAGACAGACAGAAAGATAAAAGAGAGATTCTCTGAGCTGTCAAGATTCTAACTCCTTTGGGGAAATGATACATCTTAAGTTAGTCCTAAAAATCCAGTATACTGAGTACTATACCAATAACAAATCCTACTGACAGAAAAACAAAAATCAAAACAAGAAGACAGGTAAATACATATTATAGTATTAAACTGAGCTAAGGAGAACAGTTATCCTAAATCCATGTCATAGTCAATGAATGTCTCCCTCACAAGAAACATCTGTCAGTGTCTAAATAAACATACCATAGATCAGCAGTGACCCTGCTCAATCTGCTCATTTAATGACTAAAATACCTCAAATTTCCAAGTAGACAGCTTGAACCTTTCTAATTTGCTGAAGAGGATAGATACTATAATTCTCATCTGTGTAGGTGGCAAACATGGCTACTGTCCTTCTTGCAATACTAAGTGGAAAAAAGACATCAAAAACCCAATATAGAAATAAGGTCTAACAGAAAAGGCTGACAAACTCTTATTCCATAAATACCTGAGTAACAGAGGTTTTGAAGATGCAGCTACACTCGCAGTGTGTTCCAGCTGTGCAGATTCGCACACATCCCTCAGTTTGCTTGGCCCACTTATTTCTGCTTTTCTCTCAGAGTTTAGCCTAGATATCACTTCCTCTTCCCATGTGGATGTTGAATTTCCAGGTGATACTGACCCTGAATCCTGCAAAGTCTCAGATTGGCTTCTTCCAACCAGCAGTGATTCAGACGCAGACACAAATGCAGAAGTAAGTACCTTTACAGAAGCTCCTGCTTTTTCAAGAAGATTCCCTGTAAGAAGAGTTGAGAGTAATTCAAGAACTTCAATTGTTTATCCTCAAGTAATAACATGGTGGTCTAAAAGACAGGTTAGAATGACTTACATCATTGCAGGAGAAGGGCAGAGTTTTTGTTCAGTTTGTGCAGGGGTGTGTGGTTTTTTGGTGGGGGTGGGGGGGGGAAACAAGTGAGGGCTTTTTTTTTGGAGTTGTTTTTTTTTTTAAGCATAACTAAGAATCTGAAGTTCAAGGTTTATTTTTAAAGATTCTGAAATTTCACAGATGTGCAGTTTTACAGTCTGCCAACCCCTTACAACACAGCACACAGCTTGGTCCAGTCACCTGGGTGGTTAAGCTTCCACAATTCCTCTTTAAAGTAAGGACCAAAAAAATAGTTCTCCAAAACCTTCACAGGTTCATACCACTGAAGATTATATTGTCAAGGGTACTGGTTACCCCCTGCCTTTAGAGGGGGGTAAATCCAGTGTGTAGATATTTTCAAAAGACAAATATAAAATAAAATAGATAACATTTTGGTATACTGTGATTAAAAATAGTTAATATTTTCAGTTCATAGCTCTATAGAAAATGTGTATATATACACACACACGCACACACATTCATCCATATATTTGTGCATTTTTCTTCATGTAAGAAAATACAGTGTTGGGCCCCAAATTTTCTTCCTAGATCATATTAAATACTTATCTTACCAGAAAAATGTATCCATCTTTTTAAAGTATTTAAGTACAAAAGTTCCAACGTTTTTCCTAAGAACATCTTAAGTGCAAATAATAGCAAAAGAATTAGACTGTGATGTACTACGCATTCATATGTATTATACTCTATTTCTACAAGTTTGAATTCACCTACCAGCAGCTCTCCTTGGAGAATTTGTTGATTTAGTTGAATAATCCTGTATTAAAACAAAAAACAAACAAACAAAAAAAAAAGTGATTCCTCTTGCCATTCAAGAGAGAGTGCAAGTTGACAAAAAACTCATAACTGTGCACACATGCACAGTTCTAAGAACAGGAGTGATACAGAAGAAAACATCTTCGGTAGAGTATTAGGCATTACTTAAGTCATTTCCTGAGCAGATTATCAAGGTGTTTTCATGATAGATGACTCAAGACAGGAAGGTGAGAGTTTAGAAAAGGAAGAAAAATGTTTTATCCAATCCTTTCTAGAGAAGCTCTCTCAATCACGTGGGGGAATTATTGCCCGTTCCCTCACACGATACACTACTCAGCCTACTTGCAAAATGAATGGCCAATCAATCATGTGAGATTGATCATATTCAAAAAGCACAGAGGGAAGCGGGAAACAGGCTGATCTAAAACAAGCTGCAAATAAAAACTGGCCAACGACTGTTACATGGTAGTAACATATCTAACAACTTCTTCCTGTGAGAGATGGCACTGGGAACCATAGTATCACTCAGCAGATCTAGACAGTCTGCCAGTCATGCATTATGTATCTAGAGTTTCCTCTCCTGCAACATCGCTGTCAGAAAGCCTGTGCTAAAGGAACCAGTCAAATGGACATATCACCAGCATGTTAACTGGAAAGCCTAATAAAAAAATAATAAAACAAAACAAACAAACCAACCCCAAACCCCTGAGCCTACAATTGCAGCCCCCCCCCCCAAAAAAAACAGTCCCAAAACTGTTGTATGTTTCTAAATAAGCAATCTGTATATGTCAACTTTCAAAGCAGACATTGCATTTTTAAGCAAGGAACAAGTACTCCATCACATGCTGTGCATCTATATAAATAAATAAATAAATAACCCCCAAATATTTTCTCACCTTAGAAGTGCTTTCCAGGTCATCTTCTGCTGAAGTAGATAGGGTTTTCTTAGCAGGAGGAAAATCATCCTCTTCAAGCTCAGCACCTGACCTTTTTTGAGCTGTCTGCACCAGTTTTGGAATGGGCTCTCCTGAAGCACTCTGTAGTTTTTTGGTTTCCATCTTGCTATCTAAAGATGCAGCAAGTTCATCAACTGCAGTTCTCAAGGATCCAATACTGTTTATATAAAAAGACATTATTGTGATAGTAAAATAAACCAGAGTTTACTTTGTAAAAAATTTCTGTTTGACAATTAGGCACAGATCTTTGGTGATATTCTTTCTTAATGTCAATGCTTAACTTTAAATGCATCATTTACCATCAAGCAGCATTTTGTTGATATGCACATTAAATTCTATAACTTAAGATAAGTTGTGCTTTAATGTGCATAAGTTTTTACACAATAAAATTTCTTGAAGAATTTAAGGTTCACAAAAAACGTTTCTCCTAGGATGCTCAAGACTAAATCAGTTTACCTCTCCACTCCAGTCATGCTTGTTCCACTTGCACTGACTGGGCTGATAAGTATCGGGGCTGGTAGCAAAGGTTCTGAAGTCTGTTCCAGCAAAGTAGATGCATCATCATATTCTCTCGAGTCAGCTGGAATTTCCACCAATGTTAAAATGAATGTCTGTTCCTCCTCTGAACATCTACTGTGATTATCATTCACAACTGTAACTTCTCAGGGAAATAAACAAACAAAAAAAGCCTATCATTCAAGCTATAAAATGACACTTGTCATTTTTTTTTTAATGGCCACACCGCCTACAGTAACTAGAAATTAGGTGCTCATTTTTTCAAGGGAAAGGGGGCCTGGGAACATCCTGGAGACAATCTGCTTCCTTTCTTCTTCGAGGAGGTACCAATCACTACCCACTGCGGCCTCGTGCATTAAAGTCCCAATTATCATTCAAACTGAAGAGCAAGAATGTCTAGTAGAAATCAAGCCTCTTTATTTAAATTGGGGTTCTAGCATTCAAGAACAACTTGAAGTTTAACTACACTTGTGTAACAGTGCTTAAATGGCCCTCTAATTAATATTGCCAAGGGTTGAGTCACTTATTCAAAGAAGTAGAGAAGTCTGCTGTTTGGTCAAAAATCCCAAGGTCCTATTCCCCTTACTGTTGATTTGCAGAAGAGAACCAACAGAAAAGCATAGTCATTAATTTAATAAATGAGTAGTATACATAATTTACCAACAAGTAGACATTACTTGGCTAACTGCCAATCACCATCTGTTAGAGTTAATTTAAGAAAATATTTTTAAAGTTCTTTTCAAGAGACAAAAAGCCATAGTGCTGCTCAGTTAACTAAAACAGCTCTATTCTTTTGCTGATTTAAAGCTGTTATTCTAACCTCAGCTCATTCTGGTTCTTTATCTAAAGATGATTTAAGAAGCTCTTTCCAAGACCCTTGCAACAACTAAGCATAACAACAGGCAACCTAGAAGAAATACTAGCCCTGCCTTTTGTGCATCCTCAGAAGTTGCACATTTAGCAGGAAGATTGCAGGTTTTTTGTTTGTTTGTTTGTTTGTTTGTTTTTAAAGCAAGTATTCTGGGCTTCTGGCACAATGATTTTCCCACCCTTTAGTCAAATACTGGTTCTGAGACACCTTCTTTTTAACTTGCTTTATGTAAAAGCTATCATCTTGGTACCTTTCATCACTTTTAATCAATAAGGAACTGCTTCCCTGACTTGCTACACCTGAAAAGGAAGGTTTAGTTTCTTTCTCCCATTTTCTTCCCTGCTTCTCCTTTTTTCCTGTTCCATATTGACAGAGGAACCTTCCTACCCACACAGCTGCAGTAACTGGCACTCCTTGGACACTTCCATTAGACACTATAGCTCACTAAGCCTGTGGAAAACTGCACAGGTTCTTTCTCTCACTCTGCCACTCCACCTTCAATTTCTGACAAATTTGTTAGACCTCTGTGAGCCTCTAGCCCACAAGTGCTGAAGCCAGCACAAGGTAAGACGCAGGAGCTCACAGCAGGGAGAAAAGAGGAATGAGTTTCTTTCCACTGATCTTTGAACTTGAGGTACCATTCAAAAAACCTACCAAATCTGGTTTGTGGCAATCAGAGAGGCTAGTCTTGAGAATCACTGTGGCATTTCACCGTGAATCATTATTTTTGTTAGTGAGGTAGACTGTTTTAAATCAAATCAAAAATTAAAATGTTTTCATTGATATATCTTTGTGTGATTACAAAATACACGTCAGATTTTATTAACTTTGAATATTACCACGTTATACCTGAAGTCTCTTCTGCACTGCTTGTATATTGCTGTTGAAAATCCTGAATACATCCTTCGTTCTAGAAATAAAACATTTGCAATAAAACAAATTAGAAGATCTTAGAAGTAACTCTAGAAAACAGTAAATAAACAAAGTGACAAATTTTGAAAGGCCAGAAAATCTAGTAACATCATCATCATCATCATCGCAATTGATCAACTTTTCCTTTTGGCTATTCTAGGTTAAAGGATACCAGCCTGACATGAAACACTTGGGCAGTACTTGTATATTATTTATATGCAGCTCATTGTCTCTATTGATTTTTTTTTTCCTTAACAAAAGTGCTTCGCAGAAGCACAGCTCTGTCAGAGCTGACTCACCCAATAAATTGCTCAGTAGTGCTAAGAACATGAATTTCCTCAACTATTACAAAAAATACTGAGTGCCAGAAGAAAAACTCCAAGCTCTGCTTGGATCAATCCCATCCCTTTCATGGCACATTACATTGCTTAAAAAATAAATAAGTAAATAAATAAATTGGAAGTTGCCTCCTTTCACATTGACTGCCAGTCCTGTTTCCAGCTAATTCATCATTCTTGTACCTTGTTTTAAATCAAGATTAGCCTTGACACATCAGCAGATTGCACTGGGGAAAAAAACAAGCTA